TTCATATGCAGTGCATGGAAGCAAATCCATTAAGCCAAAAAGGCTGCCTGCTTGCCAGGCAGGCAGGCAGCCTTTTTGGCTTAATGGATTTGCTTCCATGCACTGTATACAAACTGACTTTGGGAGCTTTCTAAAATGGAGTCTTGGCATTAGGAGCCATGAAAAGAGGGAGCAGTGCATTTTGAGAACAGCACACAACTGTGGGAAATGTAGTTTAGGAAGGAGAGGTGTTCTATGCTAAAGAATTCAAAAGTTTTTGCCCGAAACTATATTTCCCAGAATGCATCAGCATCAGAAAGCCCTAATTAGGAGAGGAGATGGGTCTGTAGATTTAGCCAGCCTAAGGAAATCTGTGTGCAAGATCTCCCCAGCAAAGATCCCAGTGAGGAAAGCAAATAGTTGGTCTTCCCTCCAGTTTAAAACCATAGTAGTTGTTTTGTGTTAAGTTAAGACCATATGGTGGAGCTTCTTTGGAAGCTTTTAAACAGAGGCTGGATGGTCATCTGTCGGGGTGATTTGAATGCACTATTCCTGCTTCTTGGCAGAATGGGGTTGGACTGGATGGCCCAGGAGGTTGCTTCCAACTCTAGAATTCTATGTCTTGGGGCATATCTCCAGGCATGGGCAAAATTCAGCCCTCCAGGTGTTTTGGACATCAACACCCACAATTCCTAACAGCTGGTTAGAAATTGAAGTCGAGAACATCTGGAGGGCTGAAGTTTGCCCATGCCTGATCTACATTGTAGAATTAATACAGTTTAATACCACTTTCACTGCCTGGGAGTTGTGGTTTGACAAGGACTTTAATCCTTCTCTGCTCAAGAGTGCTGTTGCCTCATGAAAATACAATTTTTACCCTTTGCATCTGGCCTAGATCACCCTTATTTAACTCTTCTGTAATTTCATACTTTGTTTTATTATATTATTGTCACTATTTTATTGTATTACTAGCTGTACCCGACAAGCGTTGCTGTGGCCAACCTTCCCTCCCTCTTTCTCTCCTCCTTTCTTTCTCTCCTTCCTTCCTTTTCTTCTCACCTTCCTTCTCTTCCTCTTCCCTTCCCTCCTTTTCTTTCCCTCCCTCTTTCTCTCCTCCTTTCTCTCTTTCTCTCCTTCCTTCCTTTCCTTCTTCCTTCTCTTCCTCTTCCCTTCCCTCCTTTTCTTTCCCTTCCTCTTTCTCCCCATTCTTCCTTCTCTACCTATTCTTGGACTGCAACTCCCAGCAGTCCTCCTGATCAATCTACTTACCTACCTTTTGTTGTTGTTGTTCATTCGTTCAGTCGTCTCCGACTCTTCGTGACCTCATGGACCAGCCCACGCCAGAGCTCCCTGTCGGCTGTCACCACCCCCAGCTCCTTCAAGGTCAGTCCAGTCACTTCAAGGATGCCATCCATCCATCTTGCCCTTGGTCGGCCCCTCTTCCTTTTGCCTTCCACTTTCCCCAGCATAATTGTCTTCTCTAGGCTTTGCTGTCTCCTCATGATGTGGCCAAAGGACTTCAACTTTGTCTCTAGTCTCCTTCCCTCCAATGAGCAGCCGGGCTTTATTTCCTGGAGGATGGACTGGTTGGATCTTCTCGCAGTCCAAGGCACTCTCAGGACTTTCCTCCAACACCACAGCTCAAAAGCATCTATCTTCCTTCGCTCAGCCTTCCCTAAGGTCCAGCTCTCACATCCGTAGGTGACTACAGGGAAGACCATGGCTTTGACTAGGCAATGGATCTTTGTTGCCAGTCTGATGTCTCTACTCTTTACTCTTTTATCGAGACTGGACATTGCTCTCCTCCCAAGAAGGAAGCGTCTTCTGATTTCCTGGCCACAGTCTGCATCTGCAGTAATCTTTGCGCCTAGAAATACCTACCTACCAACCTCTATCTAATCTAGCTACCTGGAGGATTGCTGGGAGTTGCAGTCCAGGAATAGGAAATTGGAAAATTGCAGGGATTGGGATGCTCTCAAAGAAATCCAAGGAGAAGAAAGCTTGCATCCTGGAAGCAGGGCATTTGGATCATCCTCCTTTCCTAAAGGGCCTGGTCTAGGGGATGTTGGGAGCTGTAGTCCAGAAGAGAGTGTGGATATGCTATTGTGCATTTTGTTTGCCGGGGGAGTCATTTTTGCACATGCGCTGTAGCGTCTTTTTGGCTTTTTAAGTCTCTTCTGCTGTGTTTTTCAGTGTTTCTATGAGTGATGGTCACTTGTTGGCTTGATAGGTGTATTGTGTCCAAATTTGTCCAGTGGTTTTTGAGTTATGTTAATCCCCCGGTGGCGCAGTGGGTTAAAGCACCTAGCTGCTGAGCTTGTTGATCGAAAGGTTGCAGGTTCGATTCCATGGAGCGGCGTGAGCTTCCGCTGTCAGCCCTAGCTTCTGCCAACCTAGCAGTTCGAAAACATGCAAATGTTAGTAGATCAATAGGTACCGCTCCGACGGGAAGGTAACGGCGCTCCATGCAATCATGCCGGCCACATGACCTTGGAGGTGTCTGCGGACAACGCCGGCTCTTCGGCTTAGAAATGGAGATGAGCACCACACCCCAGACATGACTGGACTTATTGTCAGGGGACAACCTTTACCTTACTAATCCCACAAACTAAAATTACATTTTTATTTATATAGATTACTAGCCGTCCCCTGCCACACGTTGCTGTGGCCCACTCTGGTGGTCATGGGGATTCTGTGTGGGAGGTTTGGCCCAATTCTATCATTGGTGGGGATCAGAATGCTTTGTGATTGTAGGTGAACTACAAATCCCAGCAACTACAACTCCCAAATGTCAATATTATATTTTCCCCAAACTCCACCAGTGTTCACATTTGGGCATATTGAGTATGCCTGCCAAGTTTGGTCCAGATCCATCATTGTTTGACTCCACAGTGATCTCGGGATATAGGTGAACTACAACTCCAAAATCAAAGGACACTGCCCACCAAACCCTTCCAGTATTTTCTGTTGGTCATGGGAGAAATGTGTGCCAAATTTGGTACAATTCCATCATTGGTGGGGTTCAGAATGCTCTTTGATTTTAGGTGAACTATAAATCCCTGCAACTACAACTCCCAAATGACAAAATCAATTTTTTGAGTGGAGGACATACATTGGGTTGTTAGGTGTCTTGTGTCCTTATTTGGTGTCAATTCGTCCAGTGGTTTTTGAGTTCTGTTAATCCCACAAACAAACATTACATTTTTATTTATATAGATTATTATGTTATTGTTAAGTATTTTTATTTGATGTTATCATCTGTTTTGTATGCATTTTATTTTGCCTTATTGTAATTGCTTGGCCTTGGCCTCATGTTAGCCATCCTGAGACAGTGGTGGGGTATAAGTAAGGTATTATCATCATCATCATCATCATCATCATCATCATCATCATCATCATCATCTCAGGATTCCATAGCATTGATCTATTCCATGGCAAGGAATGTTGTACTGAACTGTATTGAACTGTATCCTACAGTTCAGATGCACCATAGATGTTATTTCTGCATTCATTCACAGAAAATAAGTAATAGTGCCATGGTTCCACTTTAACTGTTATGGCTACTTATGGAATCCCAGGACTGGCAGTTTCAGGAGTTAATGCCCAGCCTGGGAGCTGTAGTGACCCAGAAAACTACAAATCCCAGGGTACCATGGCATGCATCTCTGGCAGTTCAAATGGAATCATGACCTGAGTTTCCTTCCTTAGGAGGGCATAGCTCCCATCATCCCATTGTGCTTTAAACCCAAATTCTTGCTTTAAACCAGTGTTTCTTGACCTGGGGGGGTCAGGACTCCTAGGAGTCATGAGGGGGTTTCAAAGACCATCAGAAAACTTAGAATTTTCTGTTGATCATGGGGGTTCGGTGTGGGAAGTTTGGCCCAATTCTGTTGTTGGTGGGGTTCAGAATGCCCTTTGATTGTAGGTGAACTATACATCCCAACAACTACAACCCCCAAAAGGCCAAGGTCTGTTTTCCCCAAATTCCACCAGTGTTCACATTTGAGCATATTGAGTATTCATGCCAAGTTTGGTCCAAATCCTTCATTGTTTGAGTCCACAGTGCTCTCTGGATGTAGGTGAACTACAACTCCCAAAATCAAGGTCAATGCTCACCAAACCTTTCCAGTATTTTCTGTTAGTCATGGGAGTTCTGTGTGATAGGTTTGGTTCAATTCCATCATTGGTGGAGTTCAGAATGCTCTTTGATTGTAGGTGAACTATATATTCCAGCAACTACGACTCCCAAATGCCAAGGTCTGTTTCCCCCAAACTCTATCTGTGTTCACATTTAAGCATATTGAGTATTTGTGTCAAGTTTGGTCCAAATCCAACATTGTTTGAGTCCACAGTGCTCTCTGGATGTAGATGAACTACAACTCCCAAACTCAAGGTCAATGCCCACTAAACCCTTCTAGTATTTTCTGTTGGTCATGGGAGTTCTGTGTGATAAGTTTGGTTCAATTCCATCATTGGTGGAGTCCAGAATGCTCTTTGATTGTAGGTTGACTATAAATCTCAGCAACTACGACTCCCAAATGACAAAACCAATCTCCCTACCCCACCAGTATTCAAATTTGGGCGCATTTGTGCCAAATTTGGCCCAGTGAATGAAAATACATCCTGTGTATCAGATATTTATATTATGATTCATAACAGTAGCAAAATTAGAGTTATGAAGTAGTAACAAAAATAATGTTATGGTTGGGGGTCACCACAACATGAGGAACTGTATTAAGGGGTCACGGCACTAGAAAGGTTGAGAAACACTGCTTTAAACCCAAATTTAAGATGCTTCTGAGCTGGATGAAAGTTCAAAATGATTCATAACAGTATCCAAATTACGGTTATGAAGTAGCAACAAAAATAATATTATGGTTGGGGGTCACCACAACATGAGGAGCTGTATTAACGGCATTAGGAAGGTTGAGAAACACTGCTTTAAACCCAAATATAAGAAGCTTCTGAGCTGGACGAAAGTTCAAAAAAACCTTTTCCCCCAAGTTCATGATAACCAGTTTTGTTTATTTGCAAAAATAAACACAGCTTTGTAATAACCTCGACACATTCTGTTTTTTACAAAGAGAGAGAGAGAGAGGGGGATTGATATATTCAAAAACCACAAAAACCCCTCTGTCACAATTATGTACAAAAACTATCATCAAGCAACATGCCTGAGCAACCGTTTTCGATCATTAGCAAAGCAATGCATTATGTGGCCTTTTTGCACACTTCAAAAATGCCCTCCCCGTGGGTTTGACATGAGAAAGTGTATCCTTAGCATGAACAACGACAATAATAAAAACGACACCCCCCCAAAAAACCTGGAAGGTCCATTAAAGTGCTTATGAAAAGGATCACGGGCTCAGTCCATTAAAAATCATTTGCAAAGTGGTCTTGTTCTTGTATAAAATGGAGGCGGGTTATTTGGAGACATATGCATATGCAAAAAAATATATATCCAAATAACATTCAGCATATGTATATATAAGTACATAGATGCATATATATATATAGATATATATAACCAAACTTCAAAAATACAAAAGCATTTTGGAAAAGATAGACCGTCGCCTAGCTGCCTTCAGCAACATTGGGAGTTGTCCATGGATCTGGTGGTAGAAATCCCCAAATAGTTCCATAGCTTGTTGCCCAAAGGCCACCAGCTGTAGGACGACATTAAATGGAAGCCATACTCAATTCCATCCATCCAGCTATTTCTCTGTTTCCTTTCATCCATCTATCCAACTATTTCAAGGCCTGAAAATCCCATAATAGCTGCATAGTTAGTTCATCTTGTTGCTTGAAGGCCACCAGATATGAGATGATTTAAATGGAAGCCAAGTTTGATTTCATCCATCCAATTATTTCGCATTTTCCATCTTCCATCCAACTATTTCTCAACTTCCTTTCATCCATCCAACTATTTGGATTTTCTTTGTGCAATGGCTCCATCAGACCAATGATAGCCATGGTCAACTGTTTCCAGAAAAAGCAACCATTTGGGAGACAACTTCTCTAACCTGAGTATCAAATGCTTCCCAAGCCCTTTATGTCCCCTGAAACCAATGTCTTTGCTGAATCCCTTCGTGGTTTCTAGCGCGTCCCAAAGGAAAGTCCAACGGTGTAGAAACCGAGGCCTTTCAGCTTCTCCTCGGCTCTGGCTTTCTGCTTCTGGTGGACTTTGCTGTGCCGCTTCTTCTCGTCGCTCCGGGCAAAGCGCCGTCCGCAGTCGTCACAGGAGAAGGGCTTCTCCCCCGTGTGGGTGCGGACATGCGTGGTCAAGTGGTCACTGCGGCTGAAGTTCCTCAGGCAGATGCGGCACTGGAAGGGCTTGTGTCCAGTGTGGATCCGGAGGTGCCGGTTGAGCTCGTCGGAGCGGGCAAAGCTGCGGATGCAGTTCTCCACCGGACAAGCAAAAGCCTTGGCGTGAGGTTTGGGGCAGAAGCACTTGGAGGAACATTTCCCCCGACGGGATTTCTTTTTTGGCTCAGCCAGGAGGCTGGGGGTGGCCTTAGTGCCAGGTCCTAGAGTGCCAACTGAGGGGTTTGGGGCCTGAGACATGAAGTCCGTCATGGAGACCGCAGAAGGCGGTGAGTGGCCAATGTGCAACCTTTGGTCATTGGGGTTTATCAAACTTGGCAGAATTTCAGGTTGGGGTAAGGTGGACTCAAATTCTTGCATGAGCTGTGGAGGCAGGCTGGGGAGTTTGGGCTCCACGAAGTCACTGGGGATTTGGGGGTGAGTTGGAAAGGTCTCTGGGTGGCAGCTGAAATCCAAGTTGGGTCCAAAGCTTGAGTGTTCTGGAAGGCTGTTGAGTTCAGATTGGCAACTGACTGACAGAATGTTCTCTGTTTTGGAGAAAATGGTTGGGCTTGGTTCTATGGGATGGAAAGCCTCCGATGTAGGATATTCCGATGGGAGGTAACTCTGGGGCTGACCAAGAGGATCCCAATGAGAACAAGGGGATTTAAACTTCTCCAGGGATGGTGAGATGCAAGAGAGCTTAATGTCCTGCTTCCTATCCAACAGTTTTTCATTGAACAAGCATTGGGAGGAGTCCTGTACGTCAGGAGATGTCTGGACTTGCTGGTGGATGCTGCTGGAGCTGGAGAAGGTGGAATAGCCTTCGTCTGCTAAAGAGGGCTGTACAGAGATGTTCAGGTCAGGTTGGCAGGTGGAATAGAGGTCCAAGTGGCTCTGTATGGCCTCTGGGACGCTGTAGACGCCGTCCAGTTGCCTGCGGTGAGCTTCTGAAGCAGAGAATGGAGACAGCCCCAGGATGCCAGACATCAAATTGAAGAGGGACTCTTGATCCTGGCATTGCTCTGTCTTGATGAAGAAGCTCCCCGTGTAGCTGACTGGCGGAGAAGACTGTCCAGAGAGGAAGTAGTAATCAGCCATTTCAGGGTTCATTGGAGCTCCCATAAAGTCACCTAGAAGATAAAGAGGTTGCAGTTTGTAAGAAAGATTTCATGCATCAAATACCAGCACATCCCAAAGAAATGCAACACAGGGCTTTCAGTACCAAAAGGCATATGCCATAGTTTTCTATGGAGATTGAAGGAGCTCTCCAAAGTGCTGAAGGTGTGCCATCACTTGGGTTCAGCACCTTGGAGAGCTTCACCAAGTTCAGTCTAAAATCAGAGCATGTTTATGACCTTACCAACATGGAAACCAGCACTGATAGTGTCCAAATATTACAATGGTTTCCATCCCTGGAAAGTGTAGTCAAAACAATTGGATAGTAAGTCATGGAAAAGTCAGAATGCACAATTTTGGGCTTATCCTGGTATAAAACCACTTCCCATGTTTTTCCCAGCTGGACAATAGATCAATCAGATCCATATCTGAGAGCCACTGATCTAGCTTGCTTCCCACCCTATTCTGAGAGTTCAAGGTGTGTTGTGATAGTTATATAACACCTCTCTATCTCTCACTGTAACACATACACAAACACAGATACGTCAGGACAAGGGTTACATTTACACTGTGGAATTAAAAGAATTTGACAGCACTTGAACTGTCATGGCTCTATGCTATGGGAGTTGTCGTTTTCCACAGTCTTGAGCCTTATCCACCAAAGAGGGCTGGTGCCTCACCAAACTACAAATCCCAGGATTCCACAGCATTGAGCAATGGCAGTTAAAGGGGTGTCAATCTCCCTCATCCTCAGACAAAGGCAATGGCTAACACCCTGAGAACAAGTCCCATGATAAAGTCACTTGGGGATCTCCATAATTCAGAAATGACTTGAAGGCACACAACAGCAACTAGAAATGGCACCCAGGGGTTATGTAGTCCAACTCCCTTCCAGGGCTTGGCATTGAAAGCTCAGAACAGCATGGATTGATGGTGGAAGGCATTCCAAAGATCAATTAGACCAACCTCCCAAAGTGCATGAACCCACAACTCAACTGAATCAGTTGGAAGGAGCCATCATCTCCTCCACACCAACTCCCCCACCAGTATAGGAATCCAATGGTGCATCTCAACTGTAAAATGGTTCAACATTATGGAATCATGGGAATTGTAATTTTCCATGGCCCTTAGCAATCTCTGCCAAACTACAACTCCCAGGATTCCATAGCATCGAGCTGTGGCAATGAAAAATAATGTCTTYCATCAATCCAAAACCAGAGAATACAATCTAATATTTTATTGGTACAAATTAYATATGTTTTAATCTCATGTTTACATACTTTTAGCATTTGTGTTTCAATGGCTTTATGTAWTGTCGAAGGCTTTCATGGCCGGAATCACTGGGTTGTTGTAGGTTTTTTCGGGCTGTATAGCCATGGTCTAGAGGCATTCCCTCCTGACGTTTRGCCTGCAGTTTGGCATCAGGAGAGAATGCCTCTAGACKATGGCCATACAGCCCGAAAAAACCTACAACAACCCAATGGCTTTATGCTTGATCTATGTCTTTTAACTATGCTGTATCTTGCCTTCAGGAGAGGTGGATAACAAACAACAACAACAACAACAACATGTATTTGAAATATGATGTCTCCTACCTCAAGCCCTGAGGAGAGGTGGGTAACCAACAACAACAATAACTTGCGTTTTTAGTCTGTTGTGACCTGCATACAGCCTTAAGGAGTGGTGACTAACTAACAATAATGATGATTGCAATTATAACAGATTAAGGTTGGACTAGTTCAGGTATGGGTAAACTTGGGCCCTCCAGGTTGTTAGGAATTGTGGGTGTTGAAGTTCAAAACACCTGGAGGGCCCAAGTTTGCCCATACCTGGACTAGATAGTTGTAGGGGGTGCCATTTTGAAAGCACTGATTTGGTTCAACCCAACCCAATCTCCCCACTGGCAATTTACTACTAAATAGTGTAATAATAATAATAATAATAATAATAATAATAATAATAATAACAACAACAACACTGGAAATTCAATTCTAAGACCTCAGTCCATTGCCCCAAACCTTATTCATACAGGGAAACCCTAAATCAATCAATCAATGATCAATAAGCATGGACATATGCACACAGATGATGATGATGATGATGATGATGACAATAACACTGGCAATTCAGTCCTAAGACCTCAGTCCATTTCCCCAAACCTTATCCATGCAGGGAAACCCTAAGCCAATCAATCAAAGATCAATAAGCATGGACACATGCACACAGATGATGATGATGATGATGATGATGACAATGGCAATGACAATAACACTGGCAATTCAGTCCTAAGACCTCCATCCATTGCCCCAAACCTGATCCATGCAGGGAAACCCTAAATCAATCAATCAATGATCAATAAGCATGGACACATGCTGGACACATGCAGACAGATGATGATGATGATGATAATGATGATGATGATTACAATAATAACACTTTCAGTTCAGTCCTAAAACCGCCATCCATTGCCACAGACCTTATCCATACAGGGAAACCCTAAATCAATCAATCAATGATCAATAAGCATGGACACAAGCACATAGATGATGATGATGATGATGATGACAACGACAGTAATAACACTGACAATTCAGTCCTAAGACCTCCATCCATTGCCACAAACCTTATCCATACAGGGAATTCCTAAACCAACCAATCAATGATCAATAAGCATGGACATATGCACAGAGATGATGATGACAATGACAACAATAATAACACTGGCAATTCAGTCCTGAGACCTCCATCCATTGCCCCAAACCTTGTCCATGCAGGGAATTCCTAAACTAATCAATCAATGATCAATAAGCATGAACATATGCACACAGATGATGATGACAACGACGACAATAATAACACTGGCAATTCAGTCCTAAAAGCTCCATCCATTGCCCCAAACCTTATACATACAGGGAATTCCTAAATCAATCAATCAATGATCAATAAGCATGGACATATGCACACAGCTGATGGTGATGACGACAATAATAACACTTTCAATTCAGTCCTAAGACTTCCATCCATTGCCTCAAACCTGATCCATACAGGGAATTCCTAAACCAATCAATCAGTGATCAATAAGCATGGACATATGCACAGAGAGAGAGAGCTTTCCAAGCTCTGCAACAGCCTTGATGTGACGTTGCAAAGGATGGAGATGGGTCTGTGTCCTCCTGGACGGGATGCACCTGAGGATGGCCACTCTGGGCCTTCTCCTTACCTGGCAGGTAGTCCTGGACCCCTTCCCTCGTGGATTGGTTCACAACCTGGTCTTGATGCTGTTGTTGTTGTTGTTGTTGTTGTGCAGGGATGGGGGCCTGCTCCTCTCCCGAGGGGCTCACCCTGCGCTTGCCACCAAGAGGGTCCTGCTGGTGGGAGAAATCCATGAGGTTCAACATGTCCCAAGCCAAGGAGAAGAGGAAGGAAGAAGGGATGGAGGAGAAAGGAGGAAAAATCCTTTTCCAAGGATGGATGGATGGATGGATGGATGGATGGATGGATGGATAATCCCTGGAGGCAAAGGATGCTGCAAAGGTGGTTCTGGTCCTCAAGGGCCACCCTTGGGGACCAAAGAGGAGGATGCTGCTGGCCTCAGGTGCTGCCAGGCCTTGGGCGGCCCAGGTCTCTTCTCTTTCCCTCTCTCTTGGTGCCTCTCCTGCCTTGTGTTTGTAAGCAAAGAGCTCCGGAGCCGCAGCCGGGCTTTTTATATGGGCCTCCCATCTTCCGCTGCCTCCCGGCTTTTCCATTTCTGGAGTTCCCAAGCCAGGCGGCGGCGGTGACGTAAATGCCCATAAAAGGACTCAGGATGCGGGCCAGGGAGACCCAATAAGGAAATCTCTCCCCGTGACGTCGGACAGGCTTTGGGGGGAGCCCCTCTCCCTCTCCCTTTTCTCTTTCTCTCTCCTTCCCTTCATCCCTCCCTCCTTCTCCCTCTCTCTTCATCATCTTCTCTTCCTCCCCCTCTTTCTTTTCCTCCTTCATCCATCCCTCCATCCCTGCATCACTCCTTCTCTTTCTCTCTCCTTCCCTACATCCTTCCCCCCCTCTCTTCATCCCTTCTCTTTCTCTCATTCCTTCTCTCCCCCCTCCCTCTCTTTTGTTCATCCAACCATCCATCCCTGCATCTCTCCTTCCCTTTCTCTTTCTCTCTCCTTCATCCCTTTCTCTTTTCATCACCTCTCTATCTCTCATTCCTTCTCTTTCTCTCTCCTTCCCTTCACCCCCTCTCTTCATCACCTTCTCTTTCTCTCATTCCTTCTCTCCCTCTCCCTCTTTCTTTTCTTCCTCCATCCATCCCTCCATCCCTGCATTTCTCCTTCCCTTTCTTTCTCTCTCTTTCCCTTCATCCCCCCTCTCTCTTCATCACCCTTCTCTATCTCTCATTCCTTCTCCCTCTTTCTTTCCTTCCCTATCCTTTTTGTCTTTCCACTTCTTTCCTTCCTTCTCTCCCTCCCCTCTTCCTCATCTTTCCATCCCTCCATCCCTGCATCTCTCCTTCCCTTTCTCTTTCTCTCTCCTTCATCCCTCCCTCCCTCTCTCTCGTCATCATCTTCTCTATATCTCATTCCTTCTCTCCCTCCCCTCTCTCTTTTCTCCCTCCATCCCTCCATCCCTGCATCTCTCCTTCCCTTTCTCTTTCTCCTTCCCTTCATCCCCCTCTCTCTTCATGACCTTCTCTTTCTCTCATTCTTTCTCTCCCTATCTCTTTTCTTCCTCCATCCATCACTCCATCCCTGCATCCCTCCTTCCATTTCTCTTTCTCTCTCCTTCATTCCTCCCTCCCTCTCTCTCTTCATCACCTTCTCTATCTCTCATTCCTTCTCCCTCTTTCTTTTCTTCCTCCATCCATCCATCCCTCCATCCCTGCATCTCTCCTTCCCTTTCTCATTCTCTCTCCTTCCCTTCATCCTCCCTCTCTCTCTTCATCACCCTCTCTATCTCTCATTCCTTCTCTCCTTCCCCTCTTTCTTTTCTTCCTCCATCCATCCCTCCATCCCTGCATCACTCCTTCTCTTTCTCTCTCCTTCCCTTCATCCCCTCTCTCTCTTCATCACCTTCTCTTTCTCCAATTCCTTCTCTCCCTCCCCTATCTCTTTTCTCCTTCCATCCTTGCATCTCTCCTTCCCTTTCTCTCTCCTTCCCTTCATCCCCCTCTCTCTTCATCATCTTCTCTTTCTCTCATTCCTTCTCTCCCTCCCCTATCTCTTTTCTCCCTCCATCCCTCCATCTCTGCATCTCTCCTTCTCTTTCTCTCTATTTCCCTTCATCCCCACCTCCCTTCATCACCTTCTCTTTCTCTCATTCCTTCTCTCCCTCCCCTATCTCTTTTCTTCCTCCATCCAACCATCCATCCCTGCATCTCTCCTTCCCTTTCTCTTTCTTTCTCTTTCTTGCTGTATCTCTTTATTTCGCCTTCCCTTCATCTCTCTCTCTCTCTCTCTCTCTCTCTCTCATTCCCTCCCTCTGTTCCCCTCTCTCCTATCTCTCTTTTTTGTCCTCCATCCATTTGTGCATCCCTCTTTCTCTTTCCCCTTCTCTCTCCCCTCTCTTTCTTTTTTGCTCTCCTTCCCTTCATCCCTCTTCATCACCCTCTATTTCTCATTCCCTCCCTCTCTCCCCCTCTTTTTTCCCCTCCATCCAACCATCCCTCCATCCCTGCATTCCTCCTTCACTTTCTCTTTTCTTCCCTTCACCCAGCTCTCTTTTCTTCCTCCATCCAACCATTCATCCATCCCTGCATCCCTCTTTCCCTTTGTTTCTCCTTCATCCCTCTTTCTTCCTCCATCTCTCTATCTCTTCCTCTACCCAGTCCTCTCTTCCTCCTTCCCTCTCTATTCTTCCTTCCTTCCTTCCTCCATCCACCAATCTGTGCATCCCTCTCTACCATTCTTTCTCTTTCTTTCTCCTTCCTCACCTGTCTCTTTATTTCTCTTTCTCTCTCTTTCCCGTCACCCCTTTCTCTTCATCACCCCCTCTCTCTCATTCCTTCCCTCCCTCTATCCTCCCTCTCTTTCTTCCTCCATCTCTCTTTTTTCTTCCTTCCTCTATCCATCTAGGCACTCTTCCTTTTTCTCCCCTTCATCTCCTCCCTCTCTCTATTTCTCCTTCTCTCTCCTTCCCTTCATCCCTCTCTGTATTCATCGTCCTCTCTATCTCTCATTCCCCCTTCTTTTGTTCCTCCATCCATCCCTGCATCCCTCTTTTCCTTTCTTTCTCCTTCCCTTCATCCCCCTCTCTCTTTACCACCCTCTCTATCTCTCATTCCCTCTCTTCCTGCCTCCCTCCTCTCGCTCTTCCTCCTCCCTCCCTCTCTATTCTGTCTCCATCCATCCATCTATGCATTCATCTCTGCCTTTCTTTCCCTTTATCTCCTTCATGTCCCCCTCTCTTTATTTCTCTTTCTTTCTCCTTCCCTTCATCTCTCTCTCCATCACCTTCTCTATCTCTCATTCCTTCCCTCCCTCCCCCCTCTCTTCCTCTATCTCTCTTTTCTTCCTTCCTCCATCCATCCATCTATGCACCCCTCTCATTCTCTTTCTTTCCCTTTCCTTCATCTCCTCCCCCTCTTTATTTCTCTTTCTCTCTCCTTGCCTTCATCTCTATCTCTTATTTTCTCTCCCTCTCTTTTCTTCCTCCATTCAAGTAACCATCCATCTTTGCATCCCTCTTTCCCTTTATTTCCCTTTCTCTCCCCTTCATCTTTCTTTCTCTCTCCTTCCCTACATCTCTCTCTCTTCATCACCCTTTCTATCTCATTCCTTCCCTCTCTTTGTCCACCTCTCTTTCTTCCTCCATATCTCTCTGTTCCTCCATCAATCCATCTCTCTCTCTTTCTTCATTTCTCTCTCTATTCCTCCATCAATCCATCCATCTATCCACTCTGTTTTTCTTCCTCCATTTCCCTCTTTTCCTCCATCCATCCCCTCTATTTTCTTCCTCCTTCCATCCATCCATGCATCCCTCTCTTTCCCTTTCTCTCTCCTTCCCTCCATCTGCACTTCTCTCTTTATCTCTCTTTATCACCCTTTGTCATTTCATCTCTCCATTCCCATCTCTTTCTTCCTCCATCTACCCACCTCTCTCCTTCCCTTCATCTCCCCCCCTCAATCCCTCACCCACTTTTTCTTCCTCCCTCCATCTCTCTTTTCCTCCATTCATCCATCTCTTGCTCTCTCCTTCCTTCTCTCCATCTCCCAACCTCTCCCATCCACCCCTCTCTCTTTCTCCTTCTCCCTTCCTTCTTCTGATGCATACACAAAACTCACATCCCTCTTCCCTGCTCCCTGGGATGTTTTCATCTCCACTGCATCTCCACTGTAGAATGAATGCAGTTTCATACCACTTTAATTCCCCTGGCTCAATGCTGTGAACTCCTGGGAGTTGTAGTTTGGGAGATATTTAGGGTGCATCTTCACTGTTGAATTAATGAAGCTTGAGACCACTCGATCTGCCACGGCTCAAGGCTATGTAATCTTGGGATTTGTAGTTTAGAGAGGCACCAGCACTCTTAGGCAGCGAAAGAACCTCCAGAACTACAAATCCCAAGATTCTCTTAAAGAGGTCTCAAACTGCATTCATTCTGCAGTGTAGGTGCACCTTAGGTTATGTGTTTTTCACAGCTTGTACAAGCTGTTTTGTAAAAATATGTGGTTGTTCTTCACTTTGATTCATGAGGACAGCTAGGAAAGAAAACAACAACAACAACAACAACAGCAATGTCCAAGAGTAGAAGCGTGGTTATGTAACACCGGTTACAGGGAGTAGAAAAATAAGGGATAAAAACCATCCAATTGTGAGTGGGAGGTTCGTAGAATTATTTTCCTGTTTGCTTGTTAGTTTAGTTTATGTAGGTGTGTGTTTTGTTTTTGTGTTTGTAGATTTCTAGTTCATAGTAGTAGGTAGGATGCGGCCATGTAAGTTTAGTATTATATATATATATATATATATATATATATATATATCACAAAACCTTGCTTGTTTGTTTTGCTATTGGATCTTGATGCTGCTTTGGGTCTCAAAGGTAAAGGTAAAGGTTTCCCCTTGACATTAAGTCTAGTTGTGTCTAAGCCAAAGAGCCAGCATTGTCCCTAGACACCTCCAAGGTCATGTGGCCAGCATGACTGCATGGAATGCCATTACCTTCCCACAGAAGCGGTACCTATTGATCTACTCACATTTGAATGTTTTCAAACTGCTAGGTTGGCAGAAGCTGGGCCTAACAGCGGGAGCTCACCTGCTCCCTGGATTCGAACTGCCAAACTTTTAGTCAGCAAGTTCAGCAGCTCAGTGGTTTAACTCGCTGTGCCACCAGGAGGCCCAATAATATTAATATTAATAATAGATTAATTGGAACTGCTTCTGTGGGAAGGTAATGGCATTCCATGCAGTCATGCTGGCCACATGACCTTGGAGGTGTCTAGAGACAATGCTAGCTCTTTGGCTTAGATACAACTAGACTTAATGTCAAGGAGAAACTTTACCTCAAGAGAGACAAGAAGGGCATAAATGTGTTGTTTTTCTGGCAACTGTATTGAGTTCTTTATAATCAGATATATGAGGGTTGAATGAAAAGTAATGCCTCCACCTTTGTTACCTCAGTTTGGATGG